GTGCCCTGAAATAACAACACTTCACTCCATGTTGATATAGTTAGAAAGTTTATGGTCTGAGAAAATCTGTGCCTTTTAAACCTTAGAGGGCAGGTGTATTAACAAACTACAGAATTTTCAAATAAATGAAGAATTCCATTACCTCACTATTGCTGCTGATGAATTGGCCTCTGACGACACTTAAGCATCAAAACATATGCAGCGTGTTTTCAGGTGAGAGACTGACATGAGTGGCTTGATTAACTTTTGGAAAAATCTTATGGAAAAGGGCTGTTGAACTTTGCTCAGTTTATTTCTATCTTGGAATAAGTTCTATATCAGTACAGTAGCCAATTTTTTTTTAAAGGTTTTTTTTTTTTTTTTTTTTTTCCACAGGTTGCTTCTGCTTGCCAAAGAGAGACAGTGAGAGGGAAAGTGAGAAATCCCTCCCCTGCACCAGGTTTCAAGGCCATGCAGCAATCCCTCTCCTCCATTCTTCTCCTGAGATTTTGGGCATCCATGCACACGCACCTGGTGTGATTTTCAAGTCGCCAGGCCCAGGACGCAAACCACAGTCAACCATGTGGGAGGCCAGCACCTTAACTACCATGCCACCTGTTAGCCTGCCAAATCGTTTTTTAGAGGTTTTTGCTATAGGGCCCGTGTGCTCACCAGAGAAAAGCCCCCCCCGGGGGGATGGCCATGCCACAATCCCTTCTCCTCCATTCTCCTCTCAGGATCTTGAGCACGCACGCACATGCAGCCAGCGTGAGTTTTAAGCCACCGGGTCCAGGACACGAACTGCGGTCGACTACATGGGAGTCCAGCGACATAGCCATTACGCTAACTGCTGGTTCCCCCAAATCTTTTTCTTTGTGACTTTTTTTTCTCTTGTCTCTAGGTGTTACTTCTTAGGCACTAACTGGGTTTATAAGTTACAAATTTAGACTCACATCATCAACAAATTCCACTACAGATCATACTGTCAGCCTCTGTCAATAGCTGAGTTCCCATCAAGCATTCACCTTTAAATAACAGGCAATATCTCTACAATGAGGTCATCTGTTTCCTCAATTGAATGTTCAGACATTTCTCTATTAGAAATTTTTGCCGCTCAGTTCATTTCTTCAATGTGTAAATCCTCCTTCTATTGCCCACTTACTGGTTCTGATTCTAACTCTTGGATAAAAAGTCAAATCACTTTTCTACAATGCTTAAAGCACATCTCCTTTTTTCTCCTGGTTTAACTATCTGGTTTTTCATCCTTCTTCTTGTCTTTTTTTTTTTTGGAGAGATTTTCACTGTAGGGCGCGTGCGCTCGCCAGACAGACAGAGAGAGACATAGAGACAGAAAGCGAGAAATCACCCCCCAGGGGGGATGGTCATGCCGCAATCCCTTCTCCTCCATTCTCCTCTCGGGATCTTGGGCACGCACGCACACGTGCCAGGCGTGAGTTTTAAGCCACCGGGTCCGGGACACGAACCGCGGTCGACTACGTGGGAGTCCAGTGACATAGTCATTACGCTAACTGCTGGTTCCCTTGTCTTTTAAAACATAAAGCTCAAAGCTCCAAGTAGATTCTGATCTGGTGAGTAAAGCAAGTCTCACTTTGCTCATTGAAGATGTTAGATTTACATTACTGTATCCAAAATCACATCAGTCTTTGGGACAACATTATCATCCTCTTGACTCCTACTGATCAACTTAAGCCTAGAAGACTTCTTCACACACAGGTAGGCGTTACTTATCTGTCATGTACTTTTTCCATTCTTGAAGACCCAAGTACAGAACCTTCCATTTATCCCTTTTCAGGTTCATCTTCAGTCTTTTGAAACAGCCTGTTACAGTATTTTTGGTTCATGGTTAGGTCATCCAACATATTTGTCCTCCTGCCCAATGTCTTGTCATCTGCAAGTTTGATAAGTATGTTTGCTTTTGTTCTAGTCATGAACAAAAGTGTTGAGGCAGGCCAGACTGGAGTCATTCCATTGTGCCATGCTGTTCTGGTAAATTGTAATGGGCAGGATTAATTATGTATGGAGATAGAATCATTAGTTTAGACTAAATATTTCACGAATATAACAGAAATTGTCTTTTAGGTAAGTGGTAGTCCTATTGTAGCTACTTGATAATTATTTAATGATAAATAATAAAAATAAGTATAGTTGTAAGAATGGAATTAGGAAATAGTTTAGAAAGTTCATGACCTCACTTATATTCTTATGTATGTTAAGCATGTAATATTAATTTTAAAAATATGGTTTAATTCTTATATTCTTAGGTTTTAAGCAGAGTCCTTTGGACCGATTAAAGACAGTGCAGTATAGGGGGTAGGGTCCTAAACGTGGCCTGTGATGTTTATTCATTTATTTATTCAGCAAATATATATTGAGTGTTTAAACTTTTGAGATACAGCATTGAAAAAAAAATAACTAGACAAACTAGACTTGAATCAGACCTGGTTAAGTTCTGCACATAGGGAGCCAGATCCCATGTGACCAACTGTAGTTTGAACCATGGTCTTGGTGGATTGAAAAGCACACCAGATATGTGTGCATGCTCAAAATCCTGATGGAATAAAGAAGTGGAGGAGCAAAGATTGCAGTGTGACTGTCTCCCACTGGGAGGTGCTTTCTCTCTCTCTGGTGAGCACATGCATTCTGAAGTCAAAACAACAAAACAAAAAACACTAAGTCTTTGCCTTCAGTGTAGCTTGCATGGTAGTGAGGAAAACAATTTGATAATTATGCAAATATAATCATTATACTTCTATGATTTATTTTCTGGACAAGTGTTATCCAGTAGAAATATAATGCAAGCCATATATGTATTGGAGTGTAGGAAAAGCCATGACTTTTTTTTAATGCAAAAATGCATCATGACTTTTCCAACCCAATCATTTAAAATTTCCCAGTATCGGGACCAGCAGTTGGCATAATGGCTGTGTCGCTGGACTCCCATATAATCAACCACGGGTCGAGTCCCAGATCTGGTGGCTTAAACTCACGCCAGGTGCGTGTGCATGCGTGCCCAAGATCCTGAGAGGAGAATGGAGGAGAAGGGATTAGGGCATGGCCATCCCCCCAGGGGATGATTTCTCACTTTCTGCCTCTCTGTCTTTCTCTGTCTTTCTGGCAAGTGCATGTGCCCTATAGCAAAAACCTCTCCAAAAAAATTTTTTTTTGGATGTTTAGTTTTTTTTTTTTTTTCTTTTAAGAGGTTTTTGCCTTAGGGTGCATGAGCCTGCCAGAGAGAAAGAGACAGACAGAAACAGAAAGAGAGAAAGTGAGAAATCACCCCCAGGGGACATCCACACCATAATCCCTTCTCTTCCATTGTCCTCCCCGATCTTGGGCATGCACACACACACACCCAGCTTGATTTTCAAGCCAGGTCCAGGACTTGAACTGTGGTTGGCCATGTGGGAGTCCAGCAATGTAGCCGCTATGCCATCTGCTGGTACCCTAGTTTCTGTGTTTTAAAACTCAAAAAGAAATTAAATTTAAAAATAGGTTTTATTAACCCAATGAATCCAATAAAAAAATTATTGAAGTATTTTAATACTTTTTCTTGAACTAAATCTTTAAAATCTTAACCCTTTACTGCGTCTTAATTTGGACCAGCCCACCCTACTTCTATTACTCATTTGCTGCAGAAAGCCAGTGGCTACTGTATTGGACAGCTCAGTTCTATACCTGCACAGACTACTATCTGGGGACCAGCAGTTAGTGTAATGGCTATGTTGTTGGACTCCCATGTAGTCAACCGTGGTTTGAGTTCCAGACCCAGTGGCTTAAACTCATACCGGGCGTGTGTGCGTGTGTCCCCAAGATCCTAAGAGGAGAATGGAGGAAAAGGGATTGCGCTGTGGCCATCCCCCCTAGGGGGGTGATTTCTTGCTTTCTGTCTCTCAGTCTTTCTCTGTCTTTCTGGCGAGCGCACACATCCTATTGCAAAAACCTCTCCAAAAAAAAAGACTACTATCTGGTGTTGGGCAAATTGCTTTGCTTCATTAGATCTCTTACTTTTACCAGTAAAATATTTTGCTGTAGAATATGTGCCCTCACTGCAGAGAGACACAGAGAAATCATCCCCCTGTGGAGATGGCCATGTTGCAATTCCTTCTCCTTCATTCTCTTCTTGGGTTTTTGGGCATGTATGCACATGCACCCTGCATGATTTTCCAGCTGCCTTAACCTTCACATCATCCGTTGGCCCAAGGTGCCCTAAATAATCTATATCTTGGTCTTGGTGGTACTTAAACAGGTATATATAATATATAAAAATTCATTAAGCTGGGGACCAGCAGGTGGTATAGTGACTAAGGTGCTGGACACTCCCACATGGCTGACCATGGTTCAAGTCCTGGGCCTGGTGGCTTGCTTTCTCGGTTTCCCTCTCTCTTTCTATCTCTCTTTGTGTCTTTCTCTGCTCAGATTAAGAATAAATGAATGGGGAACCAGCAGTTAGCGTAATGGCTATGTCGCTGGACTCCCACATAGTCGACCGTAGTTCGCGTCCCGGAGCCGGTGGCTTAAAACTCACGCCGGGCGCGTGTGCGTACGTGCCCAAGATCCCGAGAGGAGAATGGAGGAGAAGGGATTGCGGCGTGACCATCCCCCCTGGGGGGTGATTTCTCGCTTTCTGTCTCTATGTCTCTCTCTGTCTGTCTGGCGAGCGCACGCGCCCTATAGCGAAAAAACCTCTCCAAAAAAAAAAAAAAAAAAGCTGGTTTTAAAAAAATATATAAATAAATAAAAGAATAAATGAATGAATAAATAAAATTAAAAAGTAATTATAAAAAAATTCATTAAGCTGTGTGCTTAAAGATTTATGTACTTTGAAATCTCTATATTATACCTCAATAAAAGCTTTTTTTTAATTTAAGTAAGGTCAGTTAGTAAAAATTTGGTGCTGTTTGCTAAAGCACTCCTAAGTGAGCAAACCTTGAGTGGAAATATTTGACATTAAAAAATGCAAACAGCATTTTAATGTCTTTTTATGTCCTCTCTCTACCCAGGATGTGTCTGGTCCGAATGAAGCAGGAAGGCCGGAGTGGGAAATACATGTGTCGTATCATAGTTCATTTTATGTGGGAGGATGTTGAGCAGCGTGGCAGAGTCATGGGGGTAAGTGAATGCTGTCGGGTTCTGGACTGGGACAAGTCTGATGAGGACTGAAATTTCATCTATTCTACAGTGGTCTTGCTTTTAGATTTTTGTGCAATGCTGTCTAGTGTCAAGTGACAATTGAGCTATAGAAACTACTATGCCACAGATACTTTATGTGTTTGTACATATTATCGTAGTTCATCAGTGTGAGGACAGCCTGTGTATGGAGATGAGATTATAAAGTCTAAATCATGATGCTAGGAGGGGTAGATTTGGTGAATAAAAGTGAATCAAGGGACCAGCAGTTAGTGTAATGGCTATGTCACTGGACTCCCACGTAGTCGACCGCGGTTCGAGTCCCGGACCCGGTGGCTTAAACTCATGCCGGGCAGGTGTGCATGCGTGCCCAAGATCCTGAGAGGAGAATGGAAGAGAAGGGACTGTGGTGTAGCCATCCCCCCTGGGGGGTGATTTCTCGCTTTCTATCTCTGTCTCTCTGTCTGGCGAGCGCACGCTCCCTATAGCAAAGAAAAAAAAAGTGAATCAAATAATAATTAAGTTTAATTACATTTGTCTGTGGTGGAAAGTCAATATTTGAACTAGTTCTTAAGTTAGTTCTTTGGGGTTTTTTTTTTAGAGTTTTTGCCTTAGGGCGTGTGCACTCTCTAGAGAGACAGACAGACAGACAGACATAAACAGTGAGAAGGAAAGTGAGAAATCACCTACCAGAGGGATGGCCACACATTAGTCCCTTTTCCTCCATTCTCCTCCTGGGATCTGGGGCAGACACACACACACACACACACACACACACACACACACACAGCTGGTGTGATTTTCAAGGTGCCAGGTCTGGGACTCAAGCCCTATGGGAATCCAGCACGTTAACCACCATGCCACCTGCTGGCCCTTTTAAGTTAGTTTTTTGTTTTTTGTTTTGAGAGGTTTTTGCTATAGGGTTCCAGCACGTTAACCACCATGCCACCTGCTGGTCCTTTTAAGTTAGTCTTTTGTTTTTTGTTTTGAGAGGTTTTTGCTATAGGGTTCCAGCACGTTAACCACCATGCCACCTGCTGGTCCTTTTAAGTTAGTCTTTTGTTTTTTGTTTTGAGAGGTTTTTGCTATAGGGTTCCAGCACGTTAACCACCATGCCACCTGCTGGTCCTTTTAAGTTAGTCTTTTGTTTTTTGTTTTAAGAGGTGTTTGCTATAGGGCGTGTGTGCTCGCCAGACAGACAGAGAGAGACAGAAAGCGAGAAATCCCCCCCCAGGGGGGATGGCTACACCACAGTCCCTTCTCTTCCATTCTCCTCTCAGGATCTTCACCACACATGCACAAGCGCCTGGCTTGAGTTTAAGCCACTGGGTCTGGGACTTAAACCGTGGTCAACTACATGGGAGTCCAGCAACGTAGCTATTACGCTATCTGCTAGTCCCATCCTTTAAGTTAGTTTTGATGGAGAAACCCTGTATGGTGTCTGAACTGTCCTCGGGACCTGTAAAGCAAGCTCTTTGCTCACTAGTAACCTAGAAGATTTTGGCAAGATGTCTACTGAAAATGTACATTTGTGCATTTAATAATTAACCTGAGTAAGGGGAAATAGTGTATGTGTATGACACATGGAATGTGATAGCAATAGAAAAATGAAACCAAAATGTTAGAATGGAGTTGGTTATCTAATCAGTAATCTCTTGCTTTATGTGTGTTGTGTATTTTATATTAGTCTTGACCATATTTTTTGAATAATTATTTCATTGAACTTTATTAATTAATTTAAATTTGACCAGCGAAGGACAGAGAGAGAGAGTGAGAAAGCAAGTTGCCAGGTCCAGGACCTGAACCACTGTCGACCATGTGGGACTCCAGTGCCCTTAACCACCACACTACCTGCTGGCCCCCAGTCTATGCCATATTTTTAGGAGCTTGTAGAAGAGCAGCCAAAGCAGAATACCAGATTAGGTCATAAAATGGGTTAATTTGGTTTCTTTCATTACATGGCAAAGTTCTCCCTGTAGACTGTGAAGTAAACAAAGTTTATAGCTATAAAAGCTCTACATTCTCACAGATTAAAAACCAAACAGGGGGCCGGAAGGTGGTTGAAGGTGCTGGACTCCCACATGGCTGATTGCAGTTTGGGTCCTGGACCTGGTGGCTTGCTTTCTTGCTTCTCCTCTCTTTCTGTCTGATCGATCTGAAAAATAATAACAATAGTAATAAATAAAGTTAAATAAAATAATTCTTAAAAAAAAAAAAA